TATGCTATTAAGTAGTAAAGAGACTATAAAAGATATTTAACAAGTATTTACTAATAACATAAGCAGAATTTGTTACAGATCTATCTAGGGGATGAAAATCTTATCACTAGTTTTAAACTGCTTAATCTATCAGTCTAGCTTGTATAAAAGCAATAGGATACTATTAACAATCTATATAATTAATTTATCACATTACACCTTTTTACTCACGCAACTAATATAACAAAGGAGCCCAACTAGGTTGCCCATATATATATTTCCTAGTAAATATTCTGAATTAACACTATAGTACAATGTGTTTTTTGACTGCTGATTGATTAGAGCTATTAAATCTAAAGGTCATATTTAATCAAATGAGGTACCACTCTTTAAAGACTAACAGACCATACTATAAAGATTCTGATTTTCTTTAATCTTCTAGTAGATATTCTAATTTGGGATCAGTTGATATAAGCTATCAAATCTAGAGGCACAAATGCCAAGCAAAATATAATTTCTATATATAACACCTATTGAGGAGCTATATTACACAAGATATTAGTGTCAATTTAGTATTTCTCCTTAAGATCTTCTTACTTTAATAGTCAATAAAGGGGAATAATCTTGCTGAAATAATAAGATGGAATATAATCCAGTCTGTATTTTCAAATGTGTTATATTTTTACTTGCTGATAATTATTATAGCACCAACTGAATAATTATTATACTATAGCATCTTTTCTAAAAATCACAATTTTAATATCTATTGGATTAGCATATAAAATAGTTTTATATGAGAAACAATACATAATAGATTATAGTGCCAGATATTATATAGGTTCTATTTAATTGTTTTTACTTAAAATTAAACCAGTATCTTGTAATTTAACCCATGAAGTTTTAACTATTACACTATAGACTACTAGTAATTTTTATAATACAATATATATACATATATATTATAAATTAAATAAAATTATACTAAGCAAAATTTAATTAATTAATTAATTAAAATAAAAAAAATTAGTAAAATTTATAAAAATCAAGAATTTTTAAATAGTCATATATTATATTTGTAATTTAAAAAATATATACTGTATATATTTTTTAAATATAATTAATAAATAATTTTTTATTATATCCTTAATTTACATAATTATAAAAACAAAAGAAATTAAATATTGACATATATTTTTTAATAAATATTTTAAAAGTAATTAATCTATGATCAATATAAATTATTAAATTTAAAAATTCTTAATAAATATTATTTAAAAAAAAGTCAATTATCATCAAATTTAAAAATAAAACCTTTGAGCAGAATAAGATTCTTATATAATTTATATATTTAAATTTTGAAATAAGAAAAAAAGTTGTATTGATTTGATCTATTATAGAAAAAACTTAATAATAATAAAAAAAATAAAAAAGGTTTTTTGAAAAAAGTTATATTACATTTAAATACTATTTATAATAGTATAATAACATAATATTTTTATAATAATAATATAAAATTAATATAAAATTTATTTCAAGTAATTGTTTACCATTAAAATTATATAATTAAGAAAATATAATACTATATAAATAAATAATAAATAATAATAATAATAATAATAATAATAATAATAATGTATACCATATTTATTTTTTTATAATAACAATCCTATACAATATGTGATATCAATTATTTTGTTGTTATATATACAATTCATTTTTCAGAATTCTCAAAAGCAATTAATTGTATTCCTTTGCGACTTGATTATAATAATCAGATTGAAATTATGATGAAACATAAAATAGATAAGAATTAATTATAAATATATTTTTCTTTTTTGAAAGATTTTTATAAAAATATATGTCAATATAAAACAAAAATCAAAGTGTCGTTTTTTTTTTTTTATATGCAAGTTTTCTGCATGATTTTTAATTATATAGATATTATTGCCCATAATTTATTATCAATAAATGTAATCATGTAAAAAAAAAATGTTTTTAATTTTTTGAAAATCATTAGCTTTTATAGATCATGACCTATACCTAATCACTATCCTTTTATAATTTGGCCTATCTTCAAATCTTTGCACTGTTACCTTCACAATGTTATCATCAAAATCCTTTGACAACGTGATAAGCACGCCTTATTTGAACGATCGAACTTCTGAACATTCCTGCAGGTTAGTGAAGGTTGGAACCTTAAAATAGCTATTCCTAACATCCGCGTACACGAATGGGTTTCTCATTCCAATTATTTTTCAGGGGTTTTAAACCTTGATTCGCCGAGAAATTTTAATTGTTTCGAACAGATGCATCACAGATAAAGGTTTTAATGCTCCCCTGAAAACAGACATTATGCAATTATGCTATTTTTGACAATGAAAGAGAAAAAAATTTTTTTAAAAAAAAAAAAATTGTTGCGTGCAGTGATTCTTGTGCATCAACTTACCAAAAGATCACCCATTTGGAGAGAGAAATATTTGTGTGATACAGGGAAAATGGAATGTTTTTTTTTTTCTTTGTGACAAGCCAATGAAATGTGCATTACTTCACCATTTTATCCACAATAGTTTCACGTCACGAATGTGCAAAATATCATAGAACTTCACACACATGACGCGCAGTTGGCCGAGTTTCTTCCTAAAGAAAGTAAAAAAAAGAATCATATGGAATGGGCATCCGTTCATTCATGTACTTTGCATCATATAACCGATAAAAAATCTTACCAATTTAGGAGAGGGTTTTAGGTTTCCGTGAAAGGAAAAAAAATAATATGAATTGCGAGAATTTTATCAATATCTAAATTGGCTAGAACAAAATAAACATTCCCGGTTTGTCAAGTGATGATTGACTTACCGTCTTTCGCCAGGAAAAGGAGAACTGGTGTTCCACGTCAGTGGCGTTTCATAGTTATTCGGGCGCCAAAATATTATATAACATGATTTTTATTCACCGAATATATTCCCAAGTCCGCAGACGAACTTATTATAGTCTCCTGATGTAATTTATGTAATAAGTACGAAATTTTGATAAGCCACTCACTGTTGTACAAACATATGCCCGAAATTAACGTATTGTGTATTACAAATGTGAGAGCCGTATTCTTTTACCAGGAGTTGTCCGTTGAACACATTACCAAATTAGTGGAAGGAAAGGCGAAGTGAATAATTGTTATTTCCTCATATAAATAAATAAAGGTCGTCAAAAAAAAAAAAAAATAACATGTTAAGAAGAAGAAGGAGATTTGTTTGCAGCTACGCAAACGCATTTTCAATGACATAAGTTCTTCTATTATCATCAATTACAGCGGACAATGTATTCAGAAAACACACGCCGCACATTTCTATTGTAAGTTCGTATAGACACATAATCTGCTAAAGGGTTGGCCCGTTGAATTGGGAAGTAGTACATACGTTGGGCTGTTATTGTTTCCGCTTTAAGGTAGAATTTTGATGATCAATTTGATCACCCGCAACCCTCGTTATAAGGGTGAAATTTATTTATCTTTTTTTTTCTTTCCAAAAGTTTCTTTTTAAACACAAAATTTGGATCTGCAGTCTTCCGCTCGTTTATATTTACGAGGCGAATTTTTATTTTTACCTCAACTACGCTCACAACTTTCCGTGGCATAAATACTCACCTGCACCACCAATTTCTGTCATCTAAAATCAACAAACGAGAGAAAATATGAGTTCATCTCCGTCATATCCGTTCACCAATAAAAGGTTAGAGGTTGAGGCACTTACCCATAAATCTTATTGCTACGAAAATCCTATGTCAGGTCATCACAATGAGAGGTTAGAATTTCTAGGTGACTCAATAGTTGGATTCTTGGTCGCGAGATATCTATATAAGAGGTTTCCAGAATATACAGAAGGACAACTATCAATGTTAAGGGCGAAACTAGTTTGCAAACAATCTTTGGCAGGTTTTGCTTATAGGTTGGGTTTGAACGAAAAACTTCGGTTAGGGTTAGGTTCGGCGAGTTCAAGGAATAATGAAAAAATTCTAGAAGACGCATTTGAAGCATATGTTGGAGCAATTTTCATGGACTCTAACAGTTTAGATAAAGTAGGAAATTTTGTGGAAGAATTGATTAGTCCCATGGTTGATAAATTGATTTCCACGAGCCCGACAAGCATGGAGGATAAGTTACCCGCTATTCCGAAACCAGGACCAGAAAATTTAGTTTTATCGCCAACACTCGAGCATCAAGATCCTATTGGTAAATTACAGACATGGTCTCTTAAAAAAGGTTTTCCAATACCACATTATCGAGAGGTTAGGGTCACGGGGAATGCACACGAACCGTGGTTTACGATCGAAGTCTATATTAATGGATCATCTGCTGGGACCGGGGAGGGACGAAATAAAAGAGAGGCAAAAAAGAAAGCCGCAATAGCAGCCTATGACCGACTTACCACCGATCCTCCACCCAAAAGTGAACATTTCCAAAGCCATGTTCCAGATGTTTTCACGGGACCTTCGAACTAAAAACGAAAAAAAATTCCTTCCTACATCAGGAAATTTATAATGTTGAGGCGTTTGAAGTTTTTTGTTCTCTTTAGAAGTCGAGTAAATAAATAAATAAATATTTATTTATGAGACTTTTAACGAAAACAAAAAAGTCCAAAAATTTCGACCTGATAAATTTCTTGATGAATGGATGGGATGAAATTTTTTCAAAAAAAAAGTTCCAAAGGTCCCAAGATCCCTACAAAAAAAAAGAACACAACTCAGTGAACGACGACAATGATTTCTTTGTGTGTGAAATTGGAAGTCCAGTGAATGTGAGAGTCCTAAATCTGTTCTAGCAATTTTCATAATTCGCTCGATCAATCTTAATTTTTTTTTTTTTTTTCTTTTTCTTTTCTTTTTTATCCTAGTGTCTATTTTATGAAAAAAAAGCAAAAAAAAAAAGTGATATTGATGAAGGGGTACATAACATCTAATTCTTACACTGTATATACAATCATCATATGATATCGAAATGAGATTAGTTACCTTGGTTGTTAATTTAATTTGGAAGCGGTGCATATGCTTTCTTGTTTCATTAAGTTTGAAGCATTTGGCAAAATAAAAATCATTTTTAGAATACATGATTTTGTTGTCAAGTATTCTACGCCTCAATTACCTACCTGAATTGACTTGGATGGAAAGACATTGACGTTGGTGGCTATACTGAGTTTACGTTCTGAAAATGCTTCCGAGTGTTTATGGTTTTCTCGGTGGTAGCATATAGATTATATTCTTTGAAATAAAACTTGGGATTATCTTCTTGGCCTAGGGATGATGCATCATTCTTCACTAATATTTGCTCTGTCCAAGTTCACCTATCCTATTCATTAGTTCCTGTCATCTTCTTTATATTATCGAATTTTGTTTGCGTTCGTTCCCAACCTATTCTCATCTCATTTCCTCAAAAACCCATTATTCTGATACTTGACAAAAAACAATATTTTTTTTTACCATTAATAATGCGAGTATAACCATTCGACAATTCCATCAGATAATTCATCCGCATAATTACACCAAGAATTGAGAATGTAATGTAGAAAAGTTTTCTCTGCTCATCTTTGGATCCTTGGCATAATTTCCTATTCAACCAACCCTTATTCTTGGTCCCTTTTTTAACATATCCTCGAAAAACAATCAAACATGAAACGAACATTTTATCATCATTGTATCATCCATCATGGCTTTTTTTTTTTTTTCTTCGCCATGCCTTTGGATTGAAAAGGAAACAACGTGAAATTCGAGGCTTTTCTCAGAAAAGGCGAATTTCTATGTAGTTTCCGTGACAACTTTTGACTCCATGAAAAGGAGAAAAATACGAATACGCGTTCCCGTACCGGGAAAAACAATTAATTCGACAATTCTCGACCCGAATCATTCATTTATAACAACCTTGGTTTTTTGATTTTCGCAATATTTTCGAGCGACGAACGAATGACATTACGTTTCTTTCCGACAATTGTCCAAATGTGAACGGAGGAAGCTACGTGTGCGTTTCAAATTAGGTCGAGAGTTGTGCGTACACAACCTTCTTGATTTTCAACTTTAAAGTATCTACCGCTTATTTTTGAATTACGACTCGATATAATTTATAGGGAGTTTTCCCAAGCCTAAATAACTGTTAATACCTGCTTTTAAAAATTGTTGAAAACACCAACCTGACTTATTCCTATCTACTTCCCATTCTCGGAAAAATTATTGTGTCAGCATCTCGTATCTAAAGGTTGTTTTGTGCCGGAAACGAAAAATTCCAAACTTCACGAACTCAACTTTATATAAAATAATTTTCAACCCTCCTGACGAAGACAAATACCATGAAGAGATGGCATCGTCGCCGGAATAACTTTAGCTAGCATACCTAGACGACGTTGGTACAGCGTCAGACGAAGTAAGGACAATCTCAAAAACAAAAATGTCCATTTCGACTAAGAGGCGTCTAGAGATTATAATTGTAGGCAAGTCATGTTCGGTCATTGAAGAAAGAACTAAATATTTCAGGAGAGAAACGCGATTTCATAAAAAATCAAAAAATTAGAATGTATGTGCATATATATAGTTTATAATAAGTTTTTCCGGATTCACGTGGATGAAAAAACAATAATCTCCATATAGAAATTGTTTTTTGACCCGAAAAGTCAACGAAAAAAAATAATGCACCAACAAACTTTCTACAATTTATGCTAGGTTTTTTTGACGGCATTTTTGGGGGGGCTTGGTTTATTTCAATTGTTCATTCGAATATTCTATAATAAATTACTGTAAATGCAAGGTAACAAGCGTCGTAAAAAGAATGTTTCAACTGACTACTTGTAAAAAAATCGAATCGCACAAGTTTTAGGATCGATATTCAATTAAAACATTCATTAAAATCGGGATTCCAAATTCGGCGAATATATTTTTGGGTCATCAAAATATTTGGTGTATAAAAAAAAATCGTATAAATAAATAAAATTCACAAATCGAAGTACATTCATTATTATGCCGAAAAAAGATAATGAGTTTAGGAATTTGTGATTTAACATGAAATATTCATTTCAATATTTTCATTTATAATGCCTAGTTTTTTTGTAAAAAAATATTATTAATAAAATCTTTATTATGATATGATCAAGTATAGAAGTATAAATTGATTGGGTTGGTGATCGTTCGTTATCATGTATTAAGTTTTTAAAATCCAACAAGTTTAATTCAGTGCCATGGGAAATAGGCAAGACAGCACGCGTATCTGAAAATTTGAACATTTATGTGCGAGCAAGTTTATTTACAAGTAATTTGTTTAAATACAACCATTTAAACTTTCACGGTAATCTAGAAAGAAACGGTTTTGGGATTCAAATTTCTTTTTACAGTAAAATAGATACAATTTGGTCACGATGTATTTAATGATTTCGCATACAAAGATCCGAAGTCCATTCAAATAATAAATAACTAATCATGCTCATTACATCTCCGATTACATTCACATTTACTCAACTTCTCTTCCAATTCCGCGATTTTCCTTTTCAAGATCTCATTTTCTTTCTTAATGGAATCTATTACTTGCGTACTCTTCACAAGTTTATTTTGCATTTCTTGTTCTCCCTGTATTAGAGTAACGAATATTCGAGAATCAACCCGTTATTCTCAGTTTTCAAAAGAAACAACTCGTCGAAGGTATGAAGTTCTTACATGAATGGGCTCGGCTAACAATTCGAATTCCAATATTTGTTTGGCGTTGGGTCTTTGGTCCGGATCTTCAGCGACCATCCACAAAATAAATGCTGCCTAAATGAATAAAGTGTAATGAATTGGTGAATAATATGTAGCAATAGCATATGAAAAAAAATTTTTTTTTAAACAAATACCTCTTTGGGAAAACGTTGAACAAATTCATCAGGCAAAATCCCGTTTCTTAAATCCTTTAGGACCTGAATGCGCTCGTGACCGGTGGAAAAAGGATAATGCAGTTCAAAGAATATTATGCCTAGTGAATATATATCAACCTTTTCGTTGTAAGGCCTAACCGGCTTGGCAAGTTGCTCAGGAGAAGCATACTTGTTTAACCAAATTGTGTGATAATAGATTTGTCAACATAAGAGTCATAAAGAGTATTAAATTAATTTGATCATAGAGGGTGAATAAATTTCTATATTTACCGTGATCGTACCAACTCCAGTAGTTCTTGATCTAGAACCATAAGATAAGGAAGAACTTGATCTACCATTAATTATATGTTTCTTGCTACTTGAACCTTCAGGAGCACTGCCAAAATTGAATACTTTCGATTTCGTGTAACTTTCCGTCGGGAGATCAAGGTGATCGTCGATTACGGCGGTCACCAATCCAAAGTCACCGATTTTGGGTACCAGCCGCTCTGCGGCTAATGATAAACTATCAGCACTATCTTGTCCTGATTCGTGAATTACATCCATAAAAATATTCCCGGGTTTAAGGTCTCGATGAATCAAACCTTGCTCATGAATATAAGCTACGCCGCGAACAATTCCTCTGAATAACTCGATGCTAACCCGACGATTTATAGCGTTCAAGGGATCTTTCTTTGTCAGTAGACCAACATCACGATGTTTCAAGTAATCATATAGTGTGGTATGGCAAAGTTGCATCTGAATGAAAAGGGTCCAATCCTTTTCAATATTCAGAGATTCAACCTTACATTCACCAGAACTGTTATGTGACTCGTGGGAAAAGTTATTACAACTTTGTGACTGCGCATTCGCTGATGGTTCCAAATGCAATCCACCAACAGCTGAAAAGTCTTCACCAACAAAATCGACCCCGCTGTATTCGTCTGATTTGGACTCTTCATCTGAAAAGGACATCCTAAAAATATCCGAATCGTCATTTGAATTAACCAAACTACCACTACTGCTGGACTCGAACTCTCGAGAACTATTCGTATCCAAGAGGCTCTCGCATGATTCTTTGGAGGATTCTTCTCGTTGTCTATTATAAACATGCTCTAGCCAAGAGCTATAATACCTAATGACGTTTGTATGTTCTAATCGAGCAAGGAATTTGATTTCTCGAAAGATCTGAGTTCAAAGATAACAAATACTAAGTGCCAAATACAAAGACTATGTATTTAAAAAAATTTGTACAAGACTTAAAATACCTTTTCCTTTTCTCCAGGAATTTTATCACCTCGAAGCCTAATCTTTTTAATGGCATAATCGACTCCATCCAATTTATTTTTGGCCTAAGTGCATGAATTAAAATTGATTTATTTTCAGACCGATGAACTCATGCAAACAATAGAAAATATGTACGAAGCCTACCTGCCATACGCTTGCAAATCCACCTTTACCCAGTAATTTTATCTCAACAAAATCGTTACTGTAACGACTATTCTGGAGATCTAGTATATCTCCGAAAGTGAGATTTCTGAAAGTCCGAGAATTTATATTACTTACAAATAAGAAATATTGAAAGTCAATGACTCGGTAATGAGAGAAAAATCCAATAATTAAATCTTGGAAAAGAGAGCTATAGACACTTACTTGACATTATCTAAATCGTTGTCAATTTTATTAGAGCCTGCTTCGGAAACCGAAGATACGATCATATGAGACTCCACGGATGATTGTTCTCGCTTGATCGAATTCAAAGCCTGAACGACCAAAGCTTTGAATGCACGATAGTAAGTAAATCGAACGGTAGAGACTTCATCAATATACTTCAGAAATTTGAAAAATGTTAAATCTTTTGTTCCATGAAAGAAATTCTCGTGTTTATCGGTGTGATTTCGGGAGCTAACCTCTTCATCGATAATACCCATAGCGCTCAGGGACTTGCAGATCGCGTAAAACAATTTGTGATTTTTTTCTGGATTAGAATCATATAAAGAACAGAAATCCTCGAGAAGAGAAACAAGAAGAAGCCGTCCTAAAAATCCAATCAGCAAACTTGATATAAATTCGATAAAAAATTTTGGGAAAAAAAATTTTATACAAAAATACCTTGGCGCCGTTTACTTTCGATGACATTAGGATCGCGAGCATTATTCGCAAACTTGTGCGAGTTTTTTAACGTTAAGCCGGCATCCAACTGGTTTACATCTTTTTTGCAAGAAAGAACATAGATATAAAGAAAGTTCCGATCTGCAAATAATACGGAAAATCCAAACTCACCTCGAAAACTTTTAACTTTATTAAACACAAGAGATTTATCTACGCACTTGGGATCAGTGAATGATCCGATAGTCTCGGCAAGATCTCCTGACTTTAACGGAAATTCTTCTTGAATACGCTTATTGCGCAGCGTTCCATTTTTGCTTACTAAAGATGGTGATTTCTCGGCGGAAAGGTCATCAAAATTTCGAGATTCAATTCTCTGACTACCTCTAGTAGTAAGAACACTATTGTTTATTGACCGTATATTTTCAGTCATGGAGAGACTTTTTCATCGGATTTCATGGTATTTTGTTTCCTAGGGGATGATTAATGTCGTATGTGATATTAAACCAAATAAATAATGGGAACGGAATAAGCTGGGCGCGAGGTTTATGGAATTCTATAGTGCTAATATGAATTGTGAGTTATCGTGAATAGGTGGTCATAAATTTCCACGTTATTAATAAAGGACAGGATACAATGACTGGTGTTCGTTGGGAGTTCGGGTACGTGGCTGCATTAAACACTTTATAAAGAAATCATCAATGATGTAATTAACTCATTTTGTTAACTTGGCGATCTGCGATTGGAAGACTAAAAATGAATGGACATCAAGTGACGAGGCACCTGATGTTCATGTGGCTAGGGAAGTTAAATTCTGTACGTGTTTGTTTGTTGAATTGCATAATTTTTAATTACACAAATCAGGAACTTATTACATAATAATAAAAAAAGGATTACTTTTTTTAAAATTTATGCTATATATTATTATTAATGGAATTAAAATTATTTAGCTATCATAATTTTCAAAATATTGAAATCAAATAAATTTATATATACGTAATACTGTATATTAAAACAAACACATAAAATTATTTATTTATTTATTTATTTATTTTAATATTATGTTTATTAACAAATAGTTTAATAATTTTATATGTTTCCATTTGATAAATTTATATATTGTATTTATTGTATTTAAAATAATTTTTATATTTATTTTTTATATTTTCAAATTGCAAAAAATAATAAATATTTGTTAATAATAAATCATAAATCATAGACTAGACTTCGTAATTGTAGATTAATTATTGTAATTTATAAATTACACAATATAATTTTTTGATTTACTTGTTAAAAAAAAAAAAACCATTATATCCTATTTAATATCTGTAATATAATTTATTAACTTGTTATTGTAACGGATCATATCAAGTTTATTAAAAAGTCGTGAGAGTTAACGTTATCAATATGCCGTAAGAATTTCGGAATACATATATTATTGTATGTATATTCACTTATGATTATCTTTTAATGCCGATTGTTACATAAGTTCTTGCTCAATTCTTGGTTATCTTCTAGATCTTGTTCAGGCTTGATCACGTGTAAACTGCTATTACAAAAAAAAAAAGGTTCAGTTTTCATGACAATTAACCGGTAAAACTTAAAAAAAAGAATTTTTACTGAAAAAGAAAAAAAAAACAATTAACTATTCTCGTTTTATATTTAGGTATGAAATTAGGATCCTTCATAGTTGTTACCGAATTTCATTTCAAATTCGCTTAAACTCAATCTTGAAACCTACCATTTCAAACATGAAAATCAAGTAATTATTTTAAACTCAAAATTATAATATAAAAAGAATTGGGAACGCGTCTACACAAAGTACACTCACTCCTTCAATGTGAACAAGATCTAATTTCTTTTCTGCATCGCCGCAAATCACGATATAATGTCGGTGCTCTTTCCAATGATTTAGGTGCATCTTATTCATTGTGAGGTGTAACGATTTTATCATAGATGGTGGATTTCGAATAGCTGACTTTGCGGAGAAGTTGTGTAGCTGATATTATGAAGGAGATGAAGTAGTATCTTGGAAATAAATAGGAATCAACAAACTAAAAGAAAAAGAAATACAAAAAAAACACATTTATTATCCTCGGAACTTCGTCCAGTTTGAAGTATCGGATATAGTCTTTCTGTTCGCTTAATAAGATGGTGTAATATGATCTGAAATCGAGTAGTAACTTTTGTTTGAAAATATCTATATAATAATCAATAGATTACAAAGTCGTCTTACTTTAAACTATAGCTATTTTGTTGAGCGGATATTTGCTTCAAGTATTCTTTTACGTGTTGACTTAAAACGATTTCCCATTTGGAACCAGGAAAAATTTGAGCTTGCTATAGAGGTGAAGTTAAAAGTGAATATTTGCGTTGATGATACGGAAATACCAAGTCATTAAGTTGCTCACATGCTTCAACACTTTTCTGATTCGTTCGATGACATCTTTCTCCGTCGAAAAAGCCAAAGAGGTTACAGTCACGAATCCCCCTAAAGATTCATAAAAATTGGGTCATTACAGTGAAAAAGAGTTCAAATAATTGTTAATGTAACAACATAGAAGTAACCTTGCTGAAGCACTTCTTCGGCATATTCTTGTTCCTTTATCCGAAAGTCTGTGCCATACAGAATGAATTTGCACTTTGGCAAATCTTTAAGTCTCATTAAATTTGGCATGAAATTAATTTGTTTTTCGTAAAGAACATGTATCTAATCATATCAAATTCGTGTCACACCATATCGTAAGGAAATCAAGCTGTAAATGAATTAATGAAATCAAAATTTTTTACCAAAACTATTTCAACATCTTCGCTATAGTCGGTTTCATGCGCGCCATTACATTCCAACAAATTCAAAATTTCCTTCCTTTCAAAATTATCTTCAGGAGAGAAATCAACGAACTTTGGCTTATCAATGCAAAATTCTAAAAGTTTACCACGCTCCGCAGAATCTAGAAAAACGTTGGCACTAAATAATTTCGAGTCTTTAATAGCTTTTGTAACTGGTTCGATGATTTTACAATCGGTAGGATTAAGAAAATCCGATCTGACTGTTGATATTATTTTGTATACTGCAAAAAATGGGCGGTATTCGAGATATTGCGTCTGTGTGGAAAATCCAAATTTCAGGCACGTTCTCGTCGTATTCGGAAAAATTAACCAGTAAGAATTCTCTTTGTCATTTATTCGTATCACTCCTACCTTTTATAATGAGAGTTATATATATCATTCTACTTTAATGTTGATAAAATGAGGACGAATTTAGTGACTTACTATATCATTGTGTTCCATTAAATTTTTCTCGAACGCTAGATCCAAGGACCATTGTGGATTTTCTGTACTAGACTCTATTATAAAAATTGAAGTTTGTAAGTGCGAATCGATTATTTCTTCAGCATAAGACTGCGGCAAAAAGTTCTCCATCCACAAGGCTTCATTTTTACTAGATACTTGATTGCTAATAAAAAAAAAAAAAAGGAGACAATAAGTTCTCAGGAATATATGATTTCATCTATTATTCCAGTAATACTTACAACGATGAAAACTCGAAACAATATTCCAAAAATGGTTTCACAATTACGTTTCCTATAAATAATTTGGTTTTTCCTTTAACCAAATTGCTTTTCCATTCCATCTTGTTGATCAGGTCATTATCCGTGTGAACATTAGATACTGTTTTTGGTACAGGGGATTTTTCTTCACGCGGCTGAGGTAGATTCTGGATAAACAAGGTTTTTATGAATTCAGCTGATTAACATTCCTTCCCGGGCCACACAACGTACGATTTTTCTTTTCCCATTTACAGAAACAGACGTGGGATTCATAGGCGACATTTCTTTTGATCCATGATTATTCTATAATGGCAATAATTTCACTATAATTAGTCATTAATTACAAATAGGAAATTTCATTCAGCTCTGACATCAACCTTGATTCCTACAGCCTCGACTGTATTTTCGGTCACGACATTCTTTTCTTTTTCAGCCACAGTATTACTTGCGTCAATACATTCAACCAATTTTTTGGAGGTACCGAATGGACCTGGAGTAGAATCTTCAGCTGTCTTCTCCCGCTTCCAGTAATTCTTAACCATCTCGTCTACCCCATACAAATTTCGGTATTTTTGCCATTGTGGTGCCTTGTTTTGATCTTATACAGTATATGTGAAAA